AGTGTGAATATGCCTCTATTATTGGTAGAAAAATCAGCCCGTTTGCCCAAGCTGTAGCGGAGATATTCAATTTTTTCTAACTCTAGTGACTTTCCGGACACTTGATACATGCAAATTTCATAGTTAAAATGAAAGATCTATCATGGCAGAAAAATACATATAAAAGTAAAAAGACCCTCAATCAAAGTACCTCCACAACAATCAATCTGGAACCATCAAGTTACAGACAAAACGCACAGAACTACGTAACAATGTGCGAGCTTTTTTTAAAGATTTCTTGGAACACTGTCTAGAGGGGTGCCAGATTTGTTGACTTATCCGGCGGTATCCTTTGAATTATTTATTAGAATGAATTCATATTTAACTGGAAAGAAAATAGTTTCAGAATATATTTTAGTAATAAAATGTTTGCAGCGCCATCTATAATCAAAACTTATCCCATAACTGGAGTCAATTTGGGTCCTGTGGCTAGTACAGATGCATCAACATTATACGAGTGCATCAAAAATAACACAATTCTACCAGTTTTAACTGGCTTTCCGTTTTGATACAATACATCATGATACAAAACTTTCAAAAAAGAACTGGCAGTAGTTTCTCGGCAGTGATCACATGGAAACATATTGTTGGTAGTATTTCAAACAATATCGATTTGGTTTTTGTCAATATATAACAACTCTATGTTTATTATTTTGTATAATACATGTATTAACAATATGTAACGTTTTCCAGCAGATATTATCAAAGTTGCTATTTATTAATATCATTATAGTTAGGTGATTATGAACTACTTTACTAGATCATTTAACTATAATTGTATTATCATTTTATTTAATTAACATTTATTTTTAATTTTGAATATTTCTTACAAGAAGTTTTTACAGTAGTAGATTAAATTCTTTTTTTTTTCTTATGTTGTTATTATTGTCGTTACTCATTGTTCTCTCTATGGTAACATGTCAAATGATTCATTCCTGTATGAAAACATGTTTTTTTTTCTCTCTTAACACGTCAATAGATTGTATAAAAAGAAATTTTTTTTGACGCATGGTTTTGTTTGCATCTGAATAATTCAATATGGTAACACATCTGTATCAATGGGGAATTATTTATGATTCTCAATCACAAAAACGAATTAAATGTCATGTACCAACAAAAATGACAATAAATCAACGATTAGAAGGCAATTTCGAACAAGTAACATGTGGCACAAATTTTACTGTTGTTTTGGATTCAAATCATCGTGTATATGTTGTAGGTGATGAACCAAAATATGGTCGACTTGGTCAAGGTAATGATAAAACAATTGTACCAACATTAACATTAATTAAAGGTCGACTTCCTTCAATTGGTTTTATTTCATCTGGACCATCAACAACTATTTTATTAACTACAGATAAAAGAGAATTATGGGGCTTTGGAAAAGGTATAGGTTATCTAGCAAAACAAATTCTACAAAGTGAACAAATAATAACTCATTGTGTGTGTAGTGAAAATTCAATAATTATTGTTATTAATGGTTGTCAAATAAATGAACGACGTTTTAATCGAGATGGTTTTACAACTGAATGGATTTGTGTTTATCAATTATCAGATACAAATGATAAAATTCAACATATTGATATTGGTTCATCATTAAATGGATTTATTACAGAACAAGGTCATGTTTATTTATGGGGACCAACTGTACCTTATGGTAAAATTTTCAATGAAGAAAATTTTCGAAACATATCGATTAATAATCCAATACAAAAAGATTTAAACAATAATAATAATAATAATAATGATCGACCAATACAAATATCATGTAGTCGTGGACAATTTCATGCTCATGTTTTATTACTTACTGAACAAGGATGTATTTATTCAATGGGTTCAAATTATAAAGCAAAATTAGGTATTGATATAAATCAATTATTTACAGGTGAATGGATATTAATTGAACTAACACGTACATGTCCATTTAAAATGATAGCTGCTGGTGGTATTCATTCGAGTGCATTATCAATAGATGGACATGTTTTTACTTGGGGTTGTGGTTCAGATGGTCGTTTAGGACATGCCGAAGCTCAAGGTCATAGATATTTATATAAAGAACATGAACCAAGATCGATTGATCTTTTGAATAATCAACAAGCTCTATCAATATCTACGTCATATTATCATATGGCAGCTATTGTTGTTCAATAGAGAAAATTGTTTATAAAAAAAAAAAAAAAAGTCAAGACATGTTTTTTCGCTGTATTTGTTTGTTTTCATGATTAATAAGAATGCAACGATGATGTTCATTTCGGACTCGTCATCGTTGTATCCCTATTGAATACAAGTGGAAGAGTTGATTTCATACAAAAAGCTTTTGTTAAATTATGTGATGCACATAGAAGATGTTTGATATTTGATTTTTTTTGTTTTTTGTTTTTGAGCCATATGATTCAAATAATCTAATAAATGTATTTCTTATTCAATATACAAGAAGATTGAAACTTGTATTAATTAGATTTTCAAGGCATCGAATTCGAAACTTTCAAAATTGTTCTTACATTCTTTCTTTGAATAACAAATCGAGTTTATGATTTAAAGAATTACTGGAAAATTGAAATCGGCAGACATAGACGAACTACATAACTTCGATAAATTTTAGAAGTATCATCTTTGGAAGGTCATTACATATATTTTAACAGCATTTTCGTTCGATTTATTATCTCTTTATCTTTGAAATTCTAACAGAATTTTTTATATTTTTGAGAAAAACTTTCAATAACTTGAAAATCTCTGAAAAGATTCCTATAATAATAAATTCGAAAACACTTTATAATAGTTGGTTTTCTAGGCTTTTCTTTGCATTATTGATAGAAATTGATTTGTACCTTGTTATAATATTACTTTTCCATTTAATCTATATATAATGTCTATTGCAAGGGGGAAACAGCGGACTTCAAGACTTCAACGGACTTCAACCATAGTGACTTCATATTTTCACAAGACTTCTAAAGACTTCATAGGACTTCAAGGGACTTCACAAGATTTCATAGGATTTCATGGGACTTCAGAGGACTTCCAAAGACTTCGTGAGGCTTCACAGACTTCGTGAGACTTTATGGACTTCATGAGACTTCACGGATTTTGTGAAACTTCACAGACTTTGTAGGACTTCTTGAGGCTCTATAAGACTTCATTAGACTTCACAAGACTTTATAAAACTTCACAAGACTTCGCTAGACTTCGCAAAACTTCATAAGACTTCATAAAACTTCATAGGACTTCACAAGACTTCAAGAGGCAGATTCTATGCGTATCAAAAAACCTTATAGAAATTACATGAAACTTGTATAACATGCAAAAAACAAAACTTATCATATAGAGATTACAAAGGTGTTCTAGTTTCTGAGAGTTGTTTCTCGCAGTATATCCATATGTAGAATAAAGATATGGCAATGACACAAAGCGTTGATGAAATTAAAACAGAGAAAATAAACTTTACTGGTACGCGTATATTTGATTCGATTAATCCAGCATTGAAAAACTCCTATTTTCAGGTGCAAATAAATAACAAGACTAAATTTATACACAAGCAAACGGCTTGTTGGTTATTGATCGATAAAGCTAGCCGTTTATCGACTGATAGATTATCATGAGTGATAGAAACAAACAAAAAGTAATAAAATTCTTCATAAGATTGACATCGAATAGATGGACACATTTCTTATAAAAATAAATCACTTCATTCAAAAAGCATTCAGTTATTAACTATCATGTTTTCTAAGATCCAACAAACTTGAATTTTTTTCCAGCACATTGAAAAAAAAACAATAAAAGGTTCACCTTTCTGCTAAAATAAGACCGTCGAAAACAAGACAATTTCATTGGTTTCTTATGAATTTTCATGCACCAAATGTATTTCAAAACTTCCAAAAGAATTCATGAGACTTCATTAAACTTCAAGAGACTTCGTGAGACTCTATTAGACTTCATAAGACTTTATGAAACTTCAGAAACTTCAAGAGACTTTATGAGAATTCATGAGACTTCAGAAGACTTTGAAAGACTTTCAAGACTTCATGAGACTTCACGGCTGAAGTCTCTACTGTTTTCCCCTTGGTCTATTGATTCTGAATTGAAAAAAAATAAAAACTTTATGTCTTCGTTTTTATTTTCCTTATCGTTTTATTTATTGCAAAAATAATAAAAAAATAACAAATCGAGAAATATTATATAACTATTGTATGATTGAAGTCAAAACAATTTCTTGATTAATGTTATAAATCAAAATATTTTCATCTGGAAATTATTTTGTTAGTACTTTATGTTCTACTTAGTGAACAGTTTTTCTAACTGAGAATACATAAAAATGTCAGAACACAAAATTAACATGTAACGGTATAAGATAGTGATCTAATAAAAGTGTCAATAACAATAAACATAACCAAAATATCAAATAAATTATTTGTTAATTATTATCTCACCATTTTTATCAAAATTTCAATGTATCGGTAACAAATTGCTTTCTATATGTCTAAGAGAAATCACGCACAGACGTAGTCTTTGCTTCATAAAATAAGAAAAGAAAAATATTTACATTTCTTATTCATATGATAGATTCTAACATAATTTTTACCAATAAATGAAACGCATTTCTAATGGACAAAAAAATGCAATATTTTTTCATTGTATGAAGAAAAAGAAAAAAATGATGCGTACTATGTTATCGATATCGAACAATTTTCTTTTATTTAATAAATATTTTACGAATCACATTGGAGTTACTACAATCAGCACTGTTGTTCTAATTTTCTGATGTTATCGTATATACCTTGCAACTCATGAAAATATATGTTAATTAATCAATATTTTTTATGAAGTCAATATTATGAAAAAAAAAACAAATCAAATTAACGTCATGCTTCGTTTCATAAAGAATATAAAGGTAGCACATGCGGCGTATTGACTCAATTATACAATCCAAAGTTGTGCAGTAACATAAATAAACGAAACGTAGTAAAATGTTATTGACGTCTCGTGATGCGCAACGCGAGAGACGATCATTGTATGCTCTCGCGGCAGCTGCTGAAGATGACAGATTAAGTTTTACTGGTACCGAAAATCCCTCTTTTCAACCAGATTCAGTATCCAATAGTCATGCATCTAACATATTATCACGTCCACAATCACAATCTCAAATTCAACCACAACAATTTTTAATGATCACTGACATCGCAACAGATGAAGCAATGATTAATAATGCAAAAGAATCAATATCATCGTCCAGGGATAGACGATATCATTGGAGGATGAGCTATTATTTTTATATTCATATATGTTGGTTTATTATCACTGCATTATTGGGTGGTTTGATTGTTTGGCTTATTGAAAATCATTCATCTGCACGCAATCTTCAAATGAAAGTAGATTATATTGATGCATGGTTTGTTAGTAGTTCATGTGTGTCTAGTTGTGGTTTGACAACAATAGATTTTGCAAAACTTTCAGTTGCTTCTCAAGTTATTCTAATGATATTTACATTTATATCAGGTGTTACAGTTAGTACATTACCAGCATTATTTGTTAAAGCTCAGACACATAGAAGAATTGAAGGAATAACTGTTGATGATGATCATGGAGAATTAGATAATGAAAATCATGATGAATTACCAACAATTAATATTCGACGTAAAAGAAATTTACCAGAACATATTCGAAATCGACTTGCAACATTACCAACTGCACAACAACTTCGTTATCGTGCTTATTTAACATGTATTGTTCTTATTGCTGGTACTTGTTTTACTATTTATTTAATAATATTTAGCGCTATTGGAAGTTGGTTATCAACACATTATACACCTGAACAATTATTACAAGGAAATGTTAGTGTTAATCCATGGTATATTTCATTTATTATAACTGTAACAGGTTTTAATCAAAATGGATTAGCACCTTTTTCAGATGGTCTTTCACGTTTTGTTGGTGATATTTATATTAATTTCTTTGTTATGATAGTAAATTATTTTATTTTATGTTATTTTTTTTTGATTACTTAATTCATTTTTTTTCTAGTTAGTTATAAGTGGAACATCACTTTTTCCTTTTCTATTACGAAATGTAATATTATTAGTACGACTTCTATCTCCATGGCGTCATAAAGTTATTTTTGATTATATTCTTTTGAATAATCATCGTTTATGTACTTTACTCTTTCCTGCTGCACAGACTCGTATTTATCTCTTAGTAACATTTATATTACATATATCAGGTGTTAGTATTTCACTTATACTCGATTTAAACAGTGAACATTTTACTATGTATCAACCGGGTATACGTTTTATTATATTTATGTTTCATACAGTAAATACACGTTTTGCTGGCTTTCAAACAGTTGATATAAATTCATTTGCTACAGCTACATTAGTAGTATATCTATTATTAATGGCAACTAAACCACAAATGTTATGTGCACTTGAAGAATCTCCATTTGAATTAGTTTGGTTGGCATTACAAGCACGAGAAGCAGCTGATGCTGAGACAAATTCTTTAAGGAATATAAATACTACTTCAGGTTTACCTGTACGTAGTAGTCGGTCAGGATCGGCTGTATCATTATCAACAAGTAGTGGTTTACCTATACGAAGCATGGAACGTTTTCTACGTCGACAAAGTTTTGTTACTAAAAATCTAGCTCGACAACAATTTAATACTTCAATATTAGAAAATGATACAGATTATAGACCTCGACGTTTGAAATGTTTATATATTCGTTATTTTCTTATTTATTTTATACGAGCTCTTATAAAACATACAATTAGTTTTTTTATTTTAACTCGTACTTGGTTATTCTTTTTTATATTTCTTATATGTGCTATTGAAAATAGTCGAATGTCACCTATTGATCCAAATATAACTATATTTAAAATAATCTTTGAAATAATATCAGCATTTGGAACAGTTGGATTAACACTTGGATATCCGAATATATCATCAAGTTTTTCTACTGTTCTTTCATCAGCAAGTAAAGTTATACTTGTTATAACAATGTTAATGGGTCGACATCGTGGTTTACTTGCATCAATGACAGATCAAGAAGCTATTGAACATAGTGCTGCTGATTTACTTGATCGAAAATGTGAAGAAGTTATTTATGAATATCAAAAAACAATATTAGATTATAATGAGATTCATCGAAACACATTCGAGGAAGAAATTACACAATTTTAAATATCGAATACAATTCGAGTATTGTTTTGTCTTTTAAAGAACTTTATATTTGTGGTTGTTTTTTACTATTTTCAAATAAAAGTGTTTGAATCTTTCTGTCTTTGACTAAATCTAATGGTTGAAAAAGAAAATTCATTCAATAATATTAATCTTATGACTTGTAATATACACAGGAAAAGTTTGAATTAAATTCCAATACATTTAATATGTAAGGAAATATTTTTTTTGTTCAAGATTTGAAAAACTATTTTTAATGATGAGCCAACAGATTTTGTGTTTAACCTATGAGTTCCTTTTCGAACATGCAAAGAATTGTCAGAATCCTTCGCTTTGTGGAGCGGATAATTCTTTACAAAATATGATATTGAATTAAGCTGTAGATTTTATCCAAAATGAGGCTACAAGTATTTTTTTTTTAAATATAAAATGGTTGTCGATTTTTCAAAAATGAGTTTTTATGAAAATTGATATGTGCATTTTGTAAGATAACTTCTCATTTATAAACTCATATATATATATAAATAAACATGCTAACTTTTACTTTCGAATCATAATAGTAAATATATAAAGAATAAAGAAAATATGATGGAAAATAAATCGCTAATTAGACGTTTAACGATGATCTATTCGAATGAGACAATGTTTATATTGAAATATTGAAGTAGAGAGAAATGAATTCATTATCAACTAATTACTCGCTAATCAACGCGAAATTTTAATTTCTTTTTTAAGTAACAGTGACGAATGTGTAATTATATATTTGTGCGTAATACGCAAAAGAATTATATATAGAACTAGAAATGTATACAATGAAAAAGTACTGCTCTTTCTTAATTAAAAATCTTCAATGCAACGTCTTTTCTTTATCTATAAAACTCGATTTTTAATGATTACATTCTACTCTACTTTTTATATGAAATGACTTCCTTAGCAAAAATTAGTTCGGACAGAATAATAATAAAAAAAAAGAAAAAGTATACCTGTAAGCACTAAAATGATGACAAGTACATTTTCATACATGCATGTAAAACAAAAGGAAACATATATGATGATAGTTTTATACTGATTAAAAGCAAATAGACAGACATACATAAATTATTACATCGTGAAGTAAAAATAAAAATGAAAACGATCAGAATACGAGCATATCTTCTCATCAACAATAAACATCTACACTTATAACCTTTGATATTGTATCTCAAATCATAGAAAAAAGATATTATGCTTTTACTTATTCTACTTTATAAAATCACGAATCTTGGAGATCAAAAAAAAACAATCTAAGAGTTTATCGTGTAAGAAATTAAAAAAAACAAAAATATTTAGTTTGTTTTTTGTTTATTCAGTTCAAGACACTAATGACTTATTTGACCATCGAAACATTAATATCATATTACTAACTCTATTTATTATACATGATTATTTATGAGATATGATAGAAAGTATAATCGGATTGAAAAGTATGTCTTATGTAAAACCTGAAAGAATCTAGATTAAATTACAACGATCGTGTTTGTAAAAGTTACTGTTGAACTGTAATAGTTAGAAATTGGCACATTTTTCCATGCTTTCATGATGTTTCTGGAATTAGTTAACTATAAACAATAGAACAATACAAGTATTCAATCAAAAAAAACAACAACAAAAGAATTGGTATAGAAAGATATCTCTTGAAAGAAACGCGATAAATTCTACTAATTTTCTATATTTATAAAATAAATTCAAGAGTATTTGTTTAAAGCTAACTACTAGACTTTAAAGTTCTAGTTCTAATTTCATTAAAACTCTACTGATAGATAAAACATACAAGAACGAGAATAAGCAAGACAAAAAAAAAACATCTTGGTTCACATGCCAGACAGTCGTGATTGAATATTGACGACAGGGGTTTTCTATAAAAATACTTAATTTTATTAGACTTATTATTATTTATACAATCTATCGAATATTTATTATTTTGTTTTTCGTCTTCATTGAAAAAAAATCTTATGAACTTAAGGGGACACCCCCCCCCCTTTCCGGACCCAGAATTTTCAAATTTTTCATCTTTGTTTTTTCTGCTCTACATGTGTTTTCAAGTGCTCTCTATCTACTGGTAACGTTTTGAGAACTCAAATATAGCTCTAAAGCAAAAATAAAATCGAAAAGATAAATCGCTTGACGTAGGGGTTTAGAACGATTTTTTCTTTCCTTCGCGATTTTCTAGAAACCAGATTTTTCAGCAGAAATCTACAGAATCGCCCCCGTTTCTCAGGAACAGTAAATTCGATCGAGCTGAAATTTTTTCTACAGATAGTAGAAACACTTTAGGGGGCCTACTTTTTTTTTGTTTTGAAAAATATTGTACCGTTGAGTTTTGGCAGGCCTTACAAGACAAGCACTATTCAAAAAAATATGGGTTTTTTAGGGTGCTCTTGGTATTTTGGCTTTTTTATTCGAACGGTAAATGATAGAAAGAAACCAAAAAAAGTAGGCCCCCTAAAGTGTCTCTACTATCTGTAGAAAAAATTTCAGCCCAATCGGATTTACTGTGCCTGAGAAACGGGGGCAATTTGGGGGTCGATTTTTAGCCATTGCAACCCCAATATCTCCTAGAAAGAAGTATTTGAGAATTTTGAGTCTATGACAACTTTTACTCTACACATCGAGATCTATCAGCTGTGAAAGTTTCAAATTTTTCTGATGAGCCTTTCTCGAGAAACCCCGGAAAGGGGGGGTGTCCCCTTAAGCGTTCTATTTTGATACAAAAAAAAAAATATCGAATATGAAAAAAAGAAAAGGAATACTTTACATCCTATTAATAATTGATTGAAAAATAGATTGTATTGCATTACATCAAAAGTAACCTGTGTATAGATATGATCAATATAGGAGTTGCTTTTTATAATATACAATTTTTGTGATGCATTTATTACTTTTCTTTCAACCTAACTACTTTATTTACATGTGATAATATCAGTTCGTAAGGTTATTTAAATAACAAAATTTATTTTTTTTCTACATCTTTTTTGCTATTTGTTAATTAAATATATATATATATATTCAATTCAATGTTATTTATGGAAAAAAAGATTTATTTTAGAATTAATCCGATTAATTTTGTGAGATAAATTAATTAAAAATTTTCTAAGATTTTGATCTTTTTATTATTATCAATGATGCTTCGAAAAAAAAAAAAATACTCAATTTTAGTAATCGTATTATAATTTTGTCTGAAAAAACCAAAATAATCATTTGTATGTATATAATTTTGATTAAAAATATTTTCTGATACAATTCTTAAATGAAAAAAATTTTTGAAACTTTTCTATAGAATAAATAATTCAATCAAATCTATGGTAATATATACTCTCAAGTACATTAGGTATGATATTACATCAACGAATATCAATCATAAGCATAAGACAAAACTTCATAGTAAGACGATATATTCTGTATTTTTTTTTCTTTTTACCGTCATTTGACATATATTTTTATTTCCTATTTATGATATCTATCTTTTTCATGTTACATGAAAGGAAAATATACTCGAAGAGGACAAATTTGTCCACCTGTTATATAATTATGCAGTTTGTACGAGGTACAATTAGTAATAAACATTCGACAATAATATATTCATTGCTCTAAAAATCAAGTGATCTTTTAGAATAATGCAAAATCTTATATTTAACTATTATGAATTATAAAAGTCCATAAATACGATTTTTTTTTATCTTTCTTTCAAAATACATCAACGAAAAGTGACAATATAATCATAAATAATCAGCTTATATACAAAAGTTTTCTATGATATTTTCATATACATATCTTATAGTGAACAATCGACTATAGAAAAAAAATATCATTTGATTGTACCGAACCAGATAAACAATTCAATATTCATTCTATGAATTGTGCTTAAATAATAAAATTACAGATGTGTGATGGATATAAGTTATTTGTATACAATCATATTATAATTCTTCGTTAGCATTTTGTTAAAGAAACACGAAAATTCAAGAGTCAATTGATATCTATTTGAAATGTGATATAAGCATTTTTATTTTTATTTTCTGTTGTTTATTTCTTCCTGTGTCGCCATTTTGATGATCCTTATCGAGTAAATCTTATTAGTCAATTAACAGAAAAAACGGGGAATGTCGAAGTGATCTGCTATACAATATAATTTCATTTACCGTCTGATGTTCATCTCTCAGCAATTATATTGATAAATATATGAAAGAATGACTTGGAATGTGTTGTTTGGCATAGAATCATTTGATTGCTTTTCTTTTCATAAAAACAAAATATGAGCGAGTGTCCGTATTAAATCTCATGAGATATATAATACATTAATGTACATGAGAAACCTTTTTTCGTATCTTATTGAACACTGACAAAAAAAAAAATTTGTTTTTTTCTTTTTCAGTATTATACAAAGTAATGAGTCTTGTATAATTAATTTTGATGTCAATTGAATTCTCATTTGAAAATTAGATTCTAAAAATTAAGATGATGACAAAAACAAAAAAAAGAAATGTCAGAATCTATTAACATATATTTGTTAATTTATTGGATGAAAAAAATATATCTAATTAAATATCGATATTCAAAGTTCAGTATGATATATTGAATTTTGAAAAAAAGTCTTGAAATATATTTATAGAAGAAAAAAAAATATTTAGAAAATCGATGTTTTTTGTCAAAACAAGATGGCGTTTTGCACAAATAGGAAGAGAGAACGAGTAGAAAAACCTTGTTATCAAAAAAAAAAAAAAATATATATATATTTATTCTTTTTCTCATGTTGTTTTTCTCTCTATCATTCTGCTAGACGTGCGCACATTAGCGTCCCTAAGGAATATCTTTCTTCAAATTCCGTTTTCCCAGATAAAAATTTTTTTTTTCTTATTTGAGTTCGCGTGTTCTCGATACTAATAGACTTTCGGGGAAATTTCTAGTTCCATCTCATCTTTTTTTTTTTTTTTCTATTTTGAAAAATTTTGTTAAGATATCATAAC